TCCTCTGTGTAAACATAATCTCCTTTCTTCTAGTCTCAATGGGTAACTTCTTGTCCATTGAACGGCCTTTTCAATGAACAGAACATCGTGCAGTCCATGTTTATATTTTTATAATCTCTTATCCTCTCTGAAAAGTGTTTTTTTTCTTTTTTCTAACATACACAAGTTCAGGTTTTTAGCTTTTTTTTCATAACTAAAAATCATTCCCTTTATTCATCATGTCTATTCCATATGTCTCTCAGACATATTCCGCTTTTATAAATCTCCCCCAAGTCAATTCATTATTAATCACGTTCGAAGGAAAATATTCATCATTGATGTCCCAAGCTCAAGTATTATTGATTTCCACACACCCACCTGAAATATCCTTCTACTAGCTGAAACAGCAATCAGCCAGAAGTCTTTAAACATTTTCATTATTTATCATATTTTATTTTTAATGTTGCATTTAAAGCACTGTGGTTCAAAGAAAATATATTTTTGCAACCAGTGTAAAAAAAGAATGCCATATTACATTAATTCAGCAATGGAAGTCAGACTGAGTCTTTGTGTAGGCTTTTTCAATGCTTCCCATGTAGCTCAGCTTGTTGAAATCAATACTTTGACACAAAATACATATATTTTTTTTTTTTTTAAACAAAGGAACTCTAAGTTACTGACAAAGAACACCCCAATATATCCAGCAACATCTCCCGAGTAAAACAGTGCCCCCTATGTACAGGTTTTATGTTTTTTTGCAAACGTACAGGGGGCAAATGTAGGGCTTTCCCCTTTTTCATGTTTGCACATTGGAATTTGCCAGATTGGTTTGCTGGGCATATGTTGCTTTTGAGACCGTATAGCAGCTCAGAAATGAAAATTAACCCCATCATGGCATACCATTACCTCATACGTCCAAAGTCCTTAAGGGGTTAGCATTTGTTTACTTACTTGAGATGTTTTTACCGCCTGCTCTGTAAATTGAACTTTGATCACACACAGCAGGCTTCTGCAAAGCCTAGAAGGCTTTCAATAGATCAGGAGATAAGAAATTCGTAGTTAAACAGAATGTTCAGTAAAAGAAGTTTTAAACATTAGTTCTCTCTTTGCATGAAGTGTTTAAGAAGGCTGTGTAAGTCACATGCAGGGAGGTGTGACTAGAACTGTATAAACAAAGTGATATAACTTCTAAATGGCAGAGCATTTATCAGTGAGACTGCAGGGGTGTGGCCTGTATACTAAAACTGTTTCATTAAGCTAAAGTTGTTTTGGTGACTATAGTGTCCCTTTAATCAGAACGTTGGTGCAATTACTAAGCTGCAATTAAATGGACATTTGAGATCATTGCTCCAGTTTTATTGATATCTGTGCCTTACTTGTCTATTCTAACAGTCTTTATTTCCATTTGCAGCCAGTTCCTGGCCCTGTTCAGCAGTTTTCTCTTGGGCCTAGGTGATAGCTGTTTTAATACACAGCTTCTAAGTATTCTGGGGTCTCTGTATGCAGAGGACAGCGCACCTGCATTTGCAATCTTTAAGTTCGTTCAGGTAATGTACATTTTAATAGCACAGGTCATATACTACTTCAACCTTGGGGCGGGGGCGTGCATGTACTCACAATCACCTCCAAGCAGACCTGGTGTTTACCCATCTCTATCTGATATATTCCAAAAGCAAATCTTTCTTGGATATATTTTGAGGTCAGTAAAAACAGAAACCAAAAGGAGATATCTGTACACTAAACATGGTGGAAAATTGCGTCAAAGTAAATACAATATTATTATTTAGAATATAATGAATATTATGTTTAATTAAGAAGGAATAAGATTCAGACTTATCTCCCTTCAGAGAGGGTAATTGCAAAGTAATTGGAGCTGTGATCCAGAATATAGATCATCTTCGTACAATACTCCTTAATACCACGGGATGTGGAGATATGCTTTAAGAAATCTTCTTTTGTGTAAGTGCAATTCTACTAATTAATAGCTCAATTGTATGCTGTCTGCACTGTCTGCTTTCTTTTTGCCTCTACACGTATGAAGATCTATATTCTGGATTACAGCATTTCTCTAGGCAGTATAGACCAGCCGCTAGGAAGTGTGGGAACGAAGTGACTGACATCTCTATCCTTGCATCCAATCAAGCGTATTGGCATCACTAATGCAGTTTGCCCTGCTTGGGTAAGCGTTCCCAAGCAGGGCAAATGAAAGAAGACCACGGGAGGAACTAGGATGGACTGAAGTGGGTGTTACATGAATAGTAACACTCCCAAAGCTCTGGAGATGATGGCGCTGGAACAGAGGTAAGTTAATTAAATATATCTTGAAAATTTCCATTGAATACATCCTGTATCTCTGTGATATATAATGTATTCAATGTATATGGGGCGATGTAAAGGATCACTATAGGGTCAGGAACACAAACATGTATTCCTGACCCTATCGCGTTAAATCCACCATCTAGCCCCCCTGGGCCCCTTATGCCTCCATAAATATAGCAAAATCTTACAGTATTCAAGCCTGAAACTGTAACTCTGCAGGCTGTTTGCCTCAGAAAAACAAGCAGTCTGCTGACATCAGAAGTGGTAGTCTGATCCAATCACAATGCTTCCCCATAGGATGGCTGAGACTGACAAAGAGGCAGATCAGGGGCAGAGCCAGCAGAATTCAAACACAGCCCTGGTCAATCAGCATCTCCTCATAGAGATTAATTGAATCAATTAATCTCCTATCAGGAAAGTTCAGTGTCTGCATGCAGAGGGAGGAGAAACTGAATGTCTGGATGCATTTTAGGCAGCCATGACCCAGGAAGGATCTCGAACAGCCATCTGAGGAGTGGCCAGTAGAGGTATCACTAGGCTGTTATGTAAACACTGCATTTTCTATGAAAAGACAGTGTTTACAGCAAAAAGCCTGACAGTAATGATTCTACTCACCAGAACAAATTCAATAAGCTGTAGTTGTTTTGGTGACGATAGTGTCCATTTAAAGCAAGTTACATTTTCCCTTTCAGTTTCACTTTAAACTATACCTGTGCTACCATGTATAATTAGTAAGTTAAGCTTACCCCACATTCTGGTTCTGATTAGCATTTATCTTTTCATCACATCTTGTCGTAGAATGCATGTATTTATAGAACTTTTTTTTATTTATTTATTATATATAATACAAGTGAAAGCATACAGATGCATGTGAATGTAACTTGTTTTTTTCCCTTCTCTTACAGTCCATTAGTGCAGCCATTGCCTTCTTTTATAGTAACTACCTTCTACTACAGTGGCAGCTGCTAATTATGGTCATATTTGGTTTCTTTGGTACCATCTCTTTTTTCTTTGTGGAATGGGGAGCAGTCAGCCAGGGTCCTCAAGAGACTCGCTATGGAAGTATATAAAAACAAAAAACATATCCTTGTTACTGAAGCTGTTGACCAGGAACCGAATAATGGCTTTACTGCTGGGCAGAAAAAGATTTGGTGAAGATTGAGTTCACCCAGTCAACAAGGGAATAATCAGAAAAGCTGCATTCATTTTATTATGGGGACCCTACAAACATGATATGAAATCGGGATGAGACTTTACAAGCCTGTAGTCTAAATGGCTCTTCATGCAGAAGCATGACAATGAAGAGTGTGTGTTCTGCAGTAGCTACAAAATCTGAAACCTGTGACCTACCTTCACTGGAACTCTAATTGGTTATTTATACTGTGAAGAGGAGTATGGACACTATTCAGACTAGATGACCTGTATGTTGGGAGTATGGGATTAACCTGCCCTTCTCTATGTACAGTATAAACACCACTGAGGTGCAATTTGTACAAGGACACTGTATGCCTTTTATAATGTCAATAATTGCACATCAAAATGTATAACAGAATCCACTGGAATTAGGTTTGACATTACATAGTGAAAGAAAATAATCATGTCACACCAAAAAAATTATCGTAAAGTTGGAGGTCAGACATTCTGTACACTTTCGTTGGGATGTGTATACTTTTCTTTGTGTCATCAGCAATCATTTCTTGAATATTGGATAGTTTATTTCTAACAGGGTTATTTACTATAGTGAAAATTAAAAGTGAACTTCAATTTGAAGGCCAGAGTAGCCAAACTGTAAGCATAGCTAACTTGGAGGATTTCTCCAGTTTGTCTATTTTGGCCTTACATTTAAATTAATTTTGAATTCTCAAATTAGTGAATAACTCTGTTAGTTATGCTTGGCAATTCACCTGTGTTCATGCAAGGATCTTCCCAGAATTCTGGGGAGGTGTTTAATGGCCTTCGCTGCATAGTATAATATCTGGAGACTCTGACAATTATTTTGTTACATATTTTGAAGGGCTTTCTTTTTTTGTGGTTTGTTTGTTTTTATGTAAGTTGATACTGTTTTTGCTAAGCCAAAAGGTTGCCAACTCAGTCTCATAAAACTTTACTTTTTTTTTTTTTTTTATTCTGTGAACTCACTGTTTTCCACAATGATTATTTGGATATGCAATTTTCCCTGATAATCTAACCTATTTTTGATTCCAAGTAGACAACCTTAAGTTAAATATTAATTTGTGGAGCAGATGAAACAGTAGGACGAAGGATTGTAATTATACATTTTAAAATGCACGTTTATATGTATGTAAATTGGTGCTGAGCATTCAATGGAAAATATGTATCTTTGTGTTAAACATGTGCCAAGTTAGTCAATAGAAAAAGTATATTGTTTCCTTGTCCATTATCCTTTTATCACAATTTTTCACAACGTACAGCTTTCCGTCAAAGTATTTAATAATGTTATGCCCACTTCAGATTGTTTTATCACAGTTAATCACTCTCAGGGTTTTTAAATCTTCAAAACTTTAATTTACATTTTTAATAAACAAATGAGGAGCCACTGTATGTCTTATAGCTGAAATTATATCATTTCTACATTTGGAGTGTGTAATTAAATGACCACCACAGTGCTCTATTTTCCGTTTCTAGAATAAATGTGATTGATGCTGTCCCAATGGGGGTCCATCAGTTTTTACTGTCCAAAGATCAGTGCCCACTTTATCTATGTTGATGCAGTAATTATCTGGACTTTTTTGAACAAATGCTTTTTTTTTTTTTTTTCGCTTGCCTATTTTCCCAATTTGTAGCCATATGGGGCTCACTGGCCAAGTGATACAGCTCCATACACCAACAGGTTCTAAAACAGTGATCATCCCACAATAACAGAAACCAAAGACCTCAAAGGAAAAATCCCTCAAAATATTTTGTTTTAACAAAGACTGGCATTTAGTGACTTGCCCTTAAACACATGAAGACAAGCATTTATATGCATATAAATATATATAACTGAAGAGCAAGCAATTATTAACAGACCAACAATAAAATACAAGTACCGCATTCGAACATAAGAAAAAGCAAAGATAAATTTATCTGCTTATTTGGTTGCACTAATTTACTTACCACCATTAAGCAAATTTACACATTTCTAGTTAATCAATGGAGGATGCTGCAAAGTCATCATTGTAGTGTTTGAAAAATTCCCATGGTTTTCTACTGACAATAATCAAATACATCTAAATGTTCAAACAGAAAATATAAGCTAATCTTTTACAGTGTGCTCTTTATCCACTTAATCCCAGAGGCAAAACTACCACAGGTAAAGCAGGTGAGGGTCCATCAGATTCCCTCACACTTGGGGACATCTGTTGGTCATCTCTGATGAGGGGCCTAGTCAGGTACTGCAACCCTTTAATAGCATGACCAGGCCCATGTGATATGTTGCTGGGAGGAAGTGAGGTAAGGTCCTCTAAGAGTACTGCTTTGGAAGGACTAGTAGGAAGGAGTAAGGAACAGACTCCCATCAGCCTCAGCCAGTAAGCAACCTTCGGCACCCAAAAGTATAGTAACAGAAGGGTGGCTAAAATATGGATATAATGATTTGCCGGAGCTGCAAAACTCCAACAGAGTACCTCCACCAAGTCTGCATCCTCGCTGCCACAGGGGACTCTGGAAAACCTACTGGAACTCATAATAACTAAATAAAATATTTATAAAGGAGTGGGGAAGACGATAACTAAGAGGAAATATCACACCTGCCTGCAGAAATCCTAATCTGCAAATCCACCTGACTATGCAAATTACCAAGTCTTGCTATTCATGTAGTGCACATAACAGTTGCTACCAACAGATGGCACTGTACAGGTTCCACAGCCAAATCCACCTAGTTGGTAGAAAGCATCAGAAGGTCAGGAGAACCCACAAAACATTTAACACTAAACAATTCCATTACACACCCTGCACCTATGATAGGCACAGGGTGACTAAAACATAAGAATAAACATAAAGTCTCTGTCTCAAGCTTCTGTTGATGAAGACTACTGTCACAAATGACTTGTGTTAGTGTGTATGTGTTTCTTTGTTAGTATGTTTGTGCATGTGTGTTGCAGTGTATGTGTAAATATCCATACATCCCAGCATTCAAACACTACATACATCTTCATTTGACCATTAATACAACATACAAACACACCCCTGCATTCAAATGGCAAGAGCACATAAGAATACACTCTTTCATTCACTCACACACACACTCCATACAAAAAAACAAGCTTACATTCTAACACACAAACAATGCTCCCAATTACAACTCTGCAAGTATAGTTAAATGGTAGATCCCCAGCTGGCAAAGCATTGTGGGAGTTGTATGACAGTTGAGGATCTACCATTTCTGTATACAAAATTAAGAGTGAGGCACTCCGTGTTCCAAATCTTGACAGTCTTTGTAATCGAGCATAACATATAGGCAGCATTTCGGTCACTACCTATGACCTTTATCATGCCACAACATACATAGAAGACCATTGCATTAATTGACAATACATCTAATTAAACTAAGATTATATTCACACAGGTGTACAAAAAGGAAAATAAACCTGCAACATCTGTCAACCTCCAACCTTAGTCAAACTAAGTCACATGACTAGGAGTGGAGCATGATGATGCCATGCATAATGTTCCTAGCAAACACCAGCAGTTTAAATAAAAAGATTGTCTATGTAACCAGAAAGACATTATAATAAATCGCCACCATAAAATAGCTTGTTAGAAATCATCATAAGCCATTTCAAATTAACCCAATAAGGACACTGGATGGCAAATTTTCCGTCATTGCAGTCCTCCCCTTTAGGACACTGGACTGAAAAGTTCAGTCCAATACTAAAATTAACCCAATATTGCCACAATCGTGGGGTTAATGTTCCTGTAGTGTGCCTCTGTGTCTGAAGTACACTGCAGCAAGCAGTTTCACTTTCACAGCCCATGTGATTGCTCTGACTCACATGTGCTGCAGTGAAACCTGATCTGTCTCCCTGTAGCTCCATGTAAGCTGTGAAGTGCAGAGGCAGATGCTTTTTTGCTCACCTGACTATGTAGTCTTCACCCTGGGCAGGTCAGCCTCCCTGCCCAGGAAGTTCCAAGTTACATGTAGCCCAGCTCTTTGTAGATGGGAACCCCTGGCGACTGCAAGGATTACGGTCTCTGTAGTACATCATGTGGTTTCCAGGAATCATAATTCACTCACAGAAGCAAGTTCGGGTCCGGGTAAGTCTATGTGCTGATTATGGCAGTATTCACAGCACGCATGCGCGAACGACACTCCCAAACGAGGCAGTTTGTATATTCTATGCGTACCCATGTGCAAATGTCATGGCTGCGATTAACCCTGGTTTGCCTGTTCTGAAGACTGTGGGAGGGTCATTCCAGCCCGTGCTTTAAAGGTGCGTAAGCGCGAAAATGTAAATATAACTGATGGTTTTCTGATCTTTGCTTGAAAATATCGGATTTGGATGCACTTTTTTTTGCTTCAATTTGTCTGTCAGCTTTCTACAGGTAAGATTTTAAGTTTTCCCTTTGTGGGAAAAATTCATCATCGTACTGTTGATATTTAGTTACAGGATAATTTTTCATTCTTAGCCCTTAGGTTGATATGGACCATTCTCATACATCAGCCAAATCATCCATTATAAACCATGGGTGAGCAATATGATTTTTATTTGGAGTTATAATTAAAGAGCGCATGGAGGGTACAGTCTTATGTGACTTCTGTTTCAACAGCCCTCAAGACCGGTCGGGCCCTAGATCTCCATCACGGAGAAGGGGTTGGTCAACCCTGGAGATTCCTGAAGAGGTACAATTGATAGTAATGCTTCTCTTTCGACATCTATTGGATAAGAGAATTGACGCCAACTTATCAAAATTGTTGCTGCAGGCTTGGGCTGTCATCCAGCAGTAGCCATTTCTGCTATGTCAAGGGCTATGAAGGCCTGGATCATGGATTTAGAAGAAGACCTAGATAGAGGTGTACGTAGACACCACATATGAGTCCCTGAAAGAGATCAAGATGGCAAGTGAATGGCTTTCGGAGGCTTCTACAGACCTTATCAAGGTCCTTTTCTAAAACTATACTCCGTATGCGCAAGAAGAGCCCTATGGTTGAGATCTTGGGGAGCAGACATAGCATCAAAACATAATTTGTGAGCTTTACCATTTTTGGGCGATGTCCTCTTTGGAAAGCATTTAGAAGAAGCTATTAGGAAGGCAGCAGATGCCAAGCAGGACCTTCTTCCACATGACAAGAGACCAAGGAAAACACTTCTAGATCATAGACCTTACAGGGAACCTGTCTTCTTTAGGGATAGTAAAGCCTATAGACCGGGCAGAGAATATGCTAGGAACACTACCTGGAGAAGTGGTCAGTCAGCTAAAGCACCCAGGGGCAAAAATCCTTCGAACTCCTTTCGTTCCAATAAACAGTTCTGAAGATTACAGTCCCCAGGCTTCCCTAGAAGGGGCCACGGAAAATGGTTTGTTCAAGCCTTATGGTATCTTCATGCCCGTCAATTACCATCAAACTTTCGGGAACTGAGAGCAGCCTTCCTGGCTCTACTACGTTTCCAGTGTCATCTGAAGGACAGGGGGGTGAAAATATGGAAAGACACCAAAGCTGCAGCTGCTTATATCAACCATCAAGGCAGTACCAAGGAGCACCTCACTAAAGAGAGAAATCAACTTATGACCTGGGCTCAGAAAAATATGGAAGGATTGTGTGCATTTTTTCTCCCAGGAAAGACAATATGGTACCGTTTTTTTTTTTTTGGTTTTTTTTGGGTTTTTTTTTTTAACAGAAACCAGGTAGAAGAGACAGAGTGGCATCTCTCCAAAAAGATATTCATCCAATTGGTCCAGAGGTGGGTTCTTCCCCAAATTGACTTTATGGCCACAGCAGCAAACGCTCAAGTTCCAACTTTCATCTCGAGGCGATTTCATCCCCGGGCAAAATGCCCTCTCAGTGGACTGGAACTTCAATCTGACCTACATCATTCCACTGATACCTCTGATTCAGGCAGTGGTCAAGAAAATATCCAAGGAAATTTGCAAAGTGATAGCCATCCTACCATTTTGGCCTTGATGTTCTTGGTTTCCCCTGTTGCAGAGATTGATGTTAGATCATCCTTGAGAACTACCGGTTTCAGCAGCACAAAACCAGGATACACCACTGGTGGTCACGTCCTTTCATTTAAACCAGGAAATTGTCCTACCAGATTACTTTCCTGAACCTTCCTCTCCTGAAGAAGAAAGGTGTCATTTACTGGATCTGAAGGGTTACTTGTCATCTTACATTCAACGTACTGCTGATTGGAGGAAATCCAAGCAATTGTTAATCATTCCTTGGGGTTTACGCAAAAGAGAAGCCACTTCTACTACCTCTCTCTGTTTCTGGATTGTCACTACTATTTCTAGAGCATATAAATCTCAGGATGTTCCAGTGCCTAAGGAAATCAAGGCTCATTCTACGAGGTCTATTTCTACTTCATGGGCTGCAGTAGCTGGTGATCCGCCAGCGAGCATTTGTAAGGCAGCTAATTGGCCTTCACTCAAGACATTTGTTCGGCACTACAGGCTGAATGTTGCCTCTGTGGCTGATTCTCAATTTGGTTTCTCCGTTTTTAATTCAGCTCATGTTTAATAAATATTTGGCATAATTACC